CCCTCGATATGACCACCTTTAACAACTCATATTTCTCGCAGTTCACAAAGGATTTTTCTCATTTTTACTTCATCTGTAGCTTATCTCCTGCAGATTTAGAAAAGTGGTGACACAACTAAATTAGCAAATTTTTTACAGATTAAAATAAAAACAAAAATTCAAAAATGTTTTTTTTTTAAAAAGCAACATTTTAAATTTTTTAAGAAAACAAAAAACATATTTTTTAAAAAAATAATTTTTACACAACATATAAAAATCACAAGGTGGTATCTTCACGGAATCAAGAGTTACAGTAAGATTAGTGACAGTAAACTGCAAAAAGTTTCCAACTGACGCAACATTTTTGCGGCTCGGTGACTGATAAACCTCCTGTCTCGACTGAAATGTTATTAAATATAATAACATATATAATTGATTAGAACTTCTCTTCCTTATACAATTTCAATAACCGGTGGATAATTTTAAATTTCTAATTTTTAATCAATTTCAGAAGGATTTTTAAAAAAAAAATTTGTGCAATGATTACTTTTTTGCTTTCTATCGCTTTGCTTCCTTACTGAACTCTTCTGACCCAAATATTTCATGCTCAATGCTGGTTTTTGAGTGTAAATACTGTTTTGCATTCATTGCCCCAGCACTTTGCGGTATAATGCAGTGGAAGTTTTAAGTGTCTTTGGCCAACAATCCTACACGAGAACGCGGTGCTAAAAGAGCCTTTTCTCTGTCGTATTCTTTTGATGAAACAAAGGCTACGGATATTTCTGGCAAATTATTCGCTGCCCAGCTGCAGGGATCGGTAGCACTTAAGATCTGGCCCGAATGAATTTTCTGCAAACTGGCTTGCGCTGCCAGTCTTTTCAGTATGCCTACTACGCCATCACAAGAACTTTCTCCATGGGACGTTCTAAAGTAGTGCCACTTTGCTTCAACTCCAAAATCCACTTGATGGAAGAAATTTGCAAAACTTTTCCTATTTTTGTACTGTGATACAGCACCGGCAGAAAAATAGAAAATTTTCTTCAAAGCGCATTTTTTCTTCAGAAACGTCATTAACTGGCGTTGAGATAAGTGGACGGCTACCGTATCATGAGTGAGGCAATCCGATACTACAGCGAGACTGTAAAAAGTAGTAGAAGTTGCAAAACTGCCTTTGAGGTATACTGCAAATGGATGGATCGTAGCTTGTGTATTTGTCTAATGATATCGCCGTGTGGCATCCTGAACAACAATTGAGAAGTTTTCAGAAAAATCAGAAATAACTACAGCTTCGCCGCTACCGAGCAAATTCTTCTTCTCTTTCAGAAACTTGCTGTGTCTGGAAGCAACGAATGGATACCGTAATAGGGCAGGAATACGAGCAGAAATATTTTCAATGAACTCTTCAGTAGTTCCGACTACAGTAATCAAGTTGCACCGGTCTGTTTTGGCCCACTGCTTGTACTAAATGTTGCCAATAACGTTTCTATCGAAAGCTGCCTGTAACACGTCGGTCACTTTCTGTATACTGGGACACAAGGAACACTAGCCCAAAAAACTTTTCCTCACCTTCCTTGCAAGTTACCATGTAGATAATTTTGGTTCAGCTTCCTTGAAAGTAATGTAGGCTTCTCTTAAATACACAGGATAAAAAATTTTTGAACCCGCTTCTTCTCTTGACCTTCTCTGATGGTAACACAATCCTTTTTCCCGGACATGAGCCTACTGATCTCGTCACAGCAGAAGAAATGTACCACCTTTCCCCGTAATTTCTGCAAGTAATGTCCTCCCCTGTCGCGGATTAGGAGAAGTCATATACCTTTCTCCTCCACCAAACGTCTTGCATGTCTGGCCATGTGTAACGTTGTTGAAAACTCTTTCTCCACTCGCCAAACTGGCCAGCTTTTCAGTAACAGAGTCGAGATCGTCACTTCTACACTTCTGGTGGAGGTACCAGCAAATTCCTTTTTTAATTGACAGAGCCACTCCTTTCCCACTCCCAGACTCAATTCCTCTTCCAATCCGAATAGATTGGTTTGAAAAATGCTTTGAACTTTAGAGTATTGATTTTCTGAATAAGTGTTATGGCTAAAATATTTCCTTCCAACCAGAGTTTCGCCAAATCTTACAAGGGTCTCATTCATAGTTGCTACAGATGTGCTGGGGCTATTGGATGACTGAAAATTGCAAATATGCGATTCGCAAAAGAAATGTAGGAAGCTTAAAGACTACAAACCTGTACAGTAGGCCGCTGGAGCGAAGGAACAATTTCTTTCAACCGACGACTGACCATAACCCTACAGATGTTGCAAATCTTGGCATCGGCTGCCAACCCAGAAAACTTTCTTCTGCTCTATGCAGCAACAACTCTAAACTACCTGTTCGATGAGTATGGCCAGGGCGATTAAGCAGATTACAGCAATAAACATTCGTCAAATTAAGCTTTCCGAAACTCATACTTCACAGAACTAGAACAATTCAAGAAACCGACGATGGAAAAGCTGTGCTCCATTGTCATCCCCTTCATGTTTTTTTTCCAATTCGGCCCAGACAAAAATTCTTCCGAGTCTTTTTTGGATCCTTCCGCCACAATCCTTCCTCTAAACATGTCCATTGCCATCAAACTTTTTGTTGACCCGGACCAAAGCTTTGTTCCGCGAAAAAACCGCAGATTATTATTGCCTTCCGTTGTACAAAACTGGGACAATGAATGCAAAACAGTATTCACACTCAAAAACCAGCATTGAGCATGAAATATTCGGGGTCAGAAGAGTTCAGTAAGGAAGCAAAGCGATAGAAAGCAAAAAAGTAATCATTGCACACATTTTTTTTATTTAAAAAATCATTCTAAAATTAATCAAAAATCAGAAATTTAAAACTATCCACCGGTTATTGAAATGGTATAAGGAATAGAAGTTCTAATAAATTATATATGTTATTATATTTAATAACATTTCAGTCGAGACAGGAGGTCTATCAGTCACCGGGCCGCGAAAATGTTGCGTCAGTTGGAAACTTTTTGCAGTCTACTGTCACTGATCTTACTGTAACTCTTGATTCCGTGAAGATACCACCTTGTGATTTTTATATGTTGTGCAAAAATTATTCTTTTAAAAAATAAGTTTTTTGTTTTTTAATTTAACATGTCACTTTTCAAGGAAAAACGTTTTTAAATTTTTGTTTTTATTTTAATCTAAAATAAAATTTCCTAATATATGCGTTTTACCAAATTTTTCTGGATTTGCAGGAAACAAGCTTTCGAAAAAAGTAAAAAACAGGAAATCCTGTAGCGAACGAAGAAAAATGCAAGTTCCTAAATGTGACCATGTCGCGGGTGAATTGCATTTCTTTTTGCGCTCTAACTTTGCCGTGAGCGCACTTTTTGAGGTAACCTCTTTCGATTTCAAAATCCGGTATCAAGTGCTAAAACTTGGCAGAAAACAAAAAAAATCTGAGGAGACAAGGTGCAAACTTGTGCGATTTGGGCCATTCTATGCCAAATCTCACACCTCTGTAAATCACCCTCTCAGATTTTCTTATAATTTTTCTGAGTATTAGAATCTAGGCGAAAAAATCTGGAAAAGTGAATTCCCCGCCAAGTTACACCCCCCCAACAAAGTTGCAAAATTTGCCAGGTTGCCGCCTGATGCCTATTTTTGGAGGCTTGTAATTTGGTCCGTTCTTCACGTAATTGAAAGTTTTTTGATGCAGTTTATTTCCTTATTTCTCATATCCCGAGTGTTTGAGAGAATGTTGAATAATTCAATTCCGATAAAAACGCACAAATATACAATAAAAACAAAATTTAAAAAAAAACATTCAAAAAACGTCTCTTTAAATTTCTTAAAAAAAAAA